CTATGTTGAGCGGAGGAGGAGGTATTTTAGGAGAGGAGGGACGGACGGATATATCTTTTATGTCGCTTTGCCTTGCTTCGCTCGCTTATTTAACTTTTGCTTGTTTACTTACCCACCGGAGCAAAAAAAAGCATAAAAAGCTTATATGAATGGATGTCTCGTTTATTCGTATTTGTTGTTTATTTGTCATTTGTTTTTTTTTTTTTGCAATGTTTCAAGCAGGGCGCGGGTACTGTTGGAGAATCTGTCTGTCTTTTTACTTTCTTACCACGGTAATTTAGCCCAAAAGGATGGGAGGAGTGTAGAGGAGGTTGTGCTGTCTATACAGCTAGCTCAGGAGGCACTTGGGTGTTAAGGGTGCTTGAATTCAATGCTGGTGAGCGTACCTATGTCGAATCAAAGTATGATGGTGGTTGGCGTTATTCTCGCTCTCGCTGTATTGCTGCTTTGCTACTTTTTTTTTTTTTTTTTTTTTTTTGATTCGTGGATACCGTACTCGAGCGACGATGTATCAAGGCGCTCGCTCTTGCGAAAGCTATCTTATTGTTCGCTTGGTAAGGATTTAACTATGCGCTCATTACGCTTCCTTGTTTATATACACCCCTATCTGTCTAGATACATAGGCTACCCTGGTTTTGATCTTGGTCTTAGCTCTTCTCTTTGAGCGTAGAAAGTTACGTATTCAACTCGAATTTGAATTTGGGGGATATCGTCTATCTATAAAGCGGCCCTGACTCTTCATATATAAGCGGGCGTGTATAAGGCTTTTTGCTACCTTGTGAATAACTAGCGATGACAGTATGCAGCAGTACCAGCATCTCACTCATACTTCCTTGGGATTCAGATGTTCTGTGTAGCCCTTCATTCAAAACCCTCCTTTTACGTGAATCCTCCTCCGAGTCACCACCGCCATCCTCAACCTCCCTTCTCCCAAGTACTAAAAGGCCCTCGCTCTCAGTCTTTTTTCTTCCCCATCCACCCAAGAAAACCCTTCACCCCCCCCATATAAGAACACCCATCCACCTCTCCCCCCTCCGAGACCAGATAACCGATAGACCGAGACAAACATGTCTACACACGGAAAGCCGAATCTGTCGCCGCGAAACCCACACAAGATGTATCCCCGGGCCCCTTACAACAAGGTCCGTCCCGAGGCCCCGGCCTCGAAGTGGTACTGCTGCCGCTGCGCTCGCCACCATGTGACCACCGCTTGGCTCACTACCAACATGCTATGCATGGCTTGCGGGCATCGGCGGTGTCGGAGGTGTCGGGTAGAGAAGCCCAGTGTTGAGGCCGGGAATGGCGACGGGAAGGGAGCGCAAGGCCAGGGGCAGGAGCAGGGGCAGGGGCAGTCGGTGACTGGAAAGGATATCAAGAGTACTCGCTGAGCGTCAAGGAGAGGCCAGGGGTTGAAAGATAGCGGGCTGTTTGGGAAGATGGGAAAGTAGGGTCGATGAAGGATGGACATCTAGAGGATGGGCGAAGGAGTGTTTTGGACTTATGTCATTCATACAGACGAAATAAAATCGATGATGTTCGCATGAACGAGAGTGGAAGGGTTTTTATTTTGCATATGTAGCGATGATATTGGACACCTGCTTCCTTCTCTTTACCTTCTCTTTTTCCAGGGTTCACAGACTTGTTATTAGTGCTGGCTACGTGTTTTTTTAGCAACGAGAACGATATGTATGCTTTTTTATTCTCTAGTGACGGAGAGGGAAGAGATTTTTGCTGCGAACAAGCACCGTGATAGGACCGCCCTCTTTAAGTCACACTTCCTCTTTAGAGAACAAATTCATAGCCAAAAGTCCATGAGTAAAAGCTGCTAACTTATACTTCATTCCACGCTGTTAACCGCAGTTTGAGTGATTCGAGTCTTTCACCCGGAGTCTTTCCTCCGCTATTCACCTAGGATTTACAAGTGATTCAGCTGCTATAGCAACTTTCAAGCCCACATCATCTCGAAATATTGAAGTATATATCGCTCCCAACATCAACCACCAGTTTCCCCTCTCCTCATCCAAAACAATTGTTCTTGAGAGCTTCTATGTGCTCGCAACCACAGCCTGGCAAGAAAAAAAAACAAAAAAAACAGCAGCGACTCGAAAATTGCAGAAGCAACCAGTAGAATACAATAGACATCATGTGGTACCACAGATATTGGAGCCCATCTCGTACATAGGCATGCTGCTACTGCGACGGGATCAGTGTGCGTAGCGTATATCTGTTGAGGCATCGAATTTGACTGTGTTGCGGGCATGGCAGGTGTGTAGGCTGTAGGAGTCCTGTATATTAGGTTGCAGCGTGTGGGAGGTGGGACGTTATTGAAGGGCTTGGGGGAAGAGGAGATTGGCATTTACGTCGAGCTACTCGAAGGTCAAGCAAGTACGGGAGACGGGAGATTTTGAAGGGCGTATGGGGAGTTCTAAGGGTGGAGGAAATTCAGGGTCGCTTATAGAGTGTAGCATGTTGGAGTGGGGATAAAGCAAATCGATGAGGCTTCCAGGAATTCGGGAGTGGTGCTGAGATGATACTGTAAAGATATTTGCTAAATTGATCGAGGTCCTTCCTATCGCAATATTCTTTCTCTTGCATACTAAGGCACTTTGGCTGCTACGTATTACTAGGCCCTTCGGCTATAATCGACAATGGTGGGTCATGGCTCTGGGTGTTATATCTTGCGGATTGTCGACTGCTTAAATACTATAGTTAGGTAGCTGCATCATAGAATAAGACGAGTTGGGGCATGGGACCTCAAAATTGCATGCAGTGTGTTTACCTCTCAATTCGCCGAGACGGATAGCGGCCAAGTCCATCCGAGAAATCAAACGACTACGTAGAAAATAAAGGGCCCGAAAAAGTGGTTTTCAAAATATGAATATACGTAAAGGCTTCCAAGGCATCCTCAGAGAACTTGTACCGGCGTGGACTCGGCATGCAGTGATGCACCACCGGGTTTTGCGCCCCAAAGCGAGATTCTGAGCACAACACCAATATCGACACTTGCCAACAAAAGGGCAGCACCGTGTTCCGATGATGTGAACACATTAGATAATCAATAAGTATCCCAGTCTCGAGCAATCACAGTCCCATTCTCTAACCACAACCATATTCAGGCGGTCTGTGTTTGAAGAGAATTGTCCAACGTGGCATGCTACGGTTCAACCCGCGACGAAGACCAAGTTATCGAGTCGTTTACTCGATAGAATGACCTGCGAATAGACAAGAGCCTGGGTCACGAGGCCCGGTCTCTGATGCTCAAGAAGTTATGAATTTATGTTCTTTGTGGCTTTGTCTATGTTAAGCTCCGATTTTACCAGCGACCCTGACAAGAAACCATAACTCATGACATTCTGTATACTAGACAATTGATGATACGACTTCATCAATGACACTTGTTTTGAGATGCTATCCATGAGTTTCACCTTGGACATCGACGAATGTACAGGGGAATACTACTCACTTGACAATCGGCATCTCAATAACTTGGAAACAAATTGATCAAAATCGAATGAACCACAGTTTCTTTGTGTACACTCCCGATCTCATTGTGTGACCTCAAGTCTATTGTATCCTACACAATACCATTGGTAATAGACCTCCGATCTCTTTCGACTTCACAAAGCTGTATATCCAGCCATGCCTGATCTCTTTGATCCCATAGAGGAGTCGTCGCCACAAAGAACTTCTTTCACTATCCTGGCTAGAAAATCTCCTTGATTTTGTTATATAACAAGCATAATGTGCCCTTCCCCCCTTCTCAGATCAGATCCATTTCGCACAATCATCTTTTCACTTCAAGTTCTCTTCCTATTCTGTTTTCCGGTTTTGATATTCAGCTCAATCGACACATTCTTTTACACAACACCTCTTGCATTTACATCTAAAAGACAACTATCTTCATCACTTTCAAAATGGCCAGAGAAGGAGGTTCCAAGGGTCGCGGAGGTGGAGGAGTTGCTGGCGCTGGCGCCAAGACTTGCAACAAGTGCTACCAAGTCGGACATCTTGCAGCGAACTGCTATGCTAATGGACAGGCGAGTAGGAACCCCCCTAAGCAGTGTGGAAAGTGTAGCAAGACCGGCCATCTCACGGCAGAGTGTCGCCAAGGCAAAGGTGCCAATACTGCGGCGAAGCATTTCGCCTGCACAGTCTGCAAGATGAACAACCACACGACAGCAGACTGTACGAGGAAAGGCAAGGCAGGTTCAACGACCAAGACTGGACCCAGGGTGACAAGACCGTGTAGGTGGTGCAGCGAGATGCACCTGGACCGCGACTGTCCCGTCAAGGGCGGAAATTACGGCGGAAGCAGCACGAGTCACGACGAGGATGTCATTATGGTCGATGCCTTCGGACCGGCATGGGTCGATCCTGCTTGCCATCACTGCGGCGTCCAGCACTTCTCCAACGACTGCCCTTCCATCCTCCTCCACCCGCAGCCAGGACAGTTCCGATTCCCGCGCTTCACGGCCCCGACCCAGCCAGGCAAGACTGTTTGGGACGCCGCGCACCATCGCGATGAGGAGGACGACAATGGCGACGCGTATTCACACTTCCGCTTCGTTAACCATAACCTGAACACGGCGTTCTACATTTCTTTCAAGATGGTTGTAGGAAACCCGCAAGAGGAAGTCCGGGTAGATGCTGATGGGGATGTCATCATGACAAGTGACTGGTAAGTATAGTACACCAGGGAAGGCAGGTATAGGTAAAGTTGTGGGCTGGACCCATTTCCCATACTCAAATAATGGCATGAATGAATCGGATTCTCTTAACATACTTTTAGATAGATGAACGTGACGTGATCCAATGTACTACTTACTGTATAGGATGGATGGGTGGAAGATTCTTATACGAGTTCCGAGACCGTTAAGGCACTCGCTACAACACCAAAGGGTGGGTGGGGCCTACGGTAGGGATCATCCTCGCCGTGATGATGTTCAAATTCACCAAAGCCCTCGAATACCTTCACCACGGTCGATGGGGGAGAGGCAGTCGTGGCCAACAGAGCTACCGAGCTCGCGAGACAATCTACCGAAGAGAAGCTTGGAAGCGTCGTGGCCTGGGGAGCGTCACATATGCCGAGGGTGTCCAGCACGGTACCCGAGGGGGTTTCATCGGTAGGAGTGTGGGGAGAGGAGACGGGGAAAAAGATCTATGACAGTGTGCCCCGGGGTTTGTTTTGATTCCGGACCCAACAGGACTCGGCTGATTTCAATCGAGGCTTCCTTTGCAAGAACTCACAGAGCGTCCGTACTTGACTTTTATTCTGCTTCACAATCCACACACACACTGGCACAAGGTATAAAGATGAACGTGGTAGTATTCAGCTTCAGATGCAAACGTTTTTCGCGGCGACTGAATCCCACCACCTCCTCTCCGAAGGGGAATGAATAGTTGGCTCCTGCCTCTTCTGGTCGCAACATACATGCTGAAAAGGGTGTCTTCCTCCACATCTCACCGAGCCCACATATGCATATTTGAATGCGCGACAGTCCTCAACGCAAGCCGACAGGACGTGGGGGGAAGAAGCTCCCCTTTCCTCGATCTTTAATTAACCGCAAGAATGAATACGAGCTCGTCGCTCTACAGTACCGGTACAGTACGAACGATGCGATAATGCATAAACCCCCTTTTTTTTTTTCGCACCGAGATTAAGGGTCGACACTTCCCCGCCCCTCCCGCCCCCCCAAAAGATCCACCCTAGCTACTGTAGAGCTTGTCAATCCCACCTTCGGAGAAATAGTCTGTTGGACCATCAGGCTAAGATCTGCTCTCTCAATACCGGTAGAACTAGATGCATGAGATAAGAGCTGATCGCTCCCCCTTTTTTTTTTTTAAAATGCTCTTCTGCGAAGTAAGTAGCCTTTCCCACATTTTGCGGGGTTAACTCTAATTGTTAAGCGAAAGCCAAAGTTTCTTTCTCTGTTTCCTGCTTCAGTGAACTCTATTATACGATGATACAGCATAAAACCGCCTTGTAGTTATGAATGAGCTCTTCGTGTTTATCATTCATGGGGTTCATCATGTTCATTTATCTTTTATTTTTTGAGAGCTCACGATTGTCCAAAGTGAAGTTTGAAAATCGGAGAGTCGGAAAGTGGGAGATCGGTGAAGAGGAAAGGAAATAAACGAACTGGTTCACCGAGCCCCAGAAAATAGTACTGTAGTAGGTCCGGCTACTGAGGAGTCGGAGAAGAGGATGATTCGTAGTCTGTGGAGGGAGGAAAGACTATTTACTTCTTGGCGTCACTAGTGAGTCGTGACGTAATCAATATTGGCCACTCCTTCCACCAACTTTCTGCTCCAGCTCCTGCGAAACAGCTGCGGGCGCTCCGTGTTACGTACAGTAGTACCTTGTACCTATCATATACTTCAATATCAAACAATCATAAAGGATGAGTCAAGTGGATTAAAAGTTCGGATGAAGGACTGGTTCAGATGGGGATTTTGTGAGAACGGGTCTTAGGTACTTTATAAGGTGGGAAAACGTCCCGTCCCGTCCCGCCTGACGGATTGACCGTTTCACTGTTTGGACGGAAGAAACGACCTCTAGTAGTCGGCGCACTGACTATTACCCCTTGCTACGTCCGTCAGAGCAGATAGTAAGGAGAAGGGAAAATAAAGAGATGGTCGCGAATTTGGTTCGAAATGCATGCATTTAATGTATATATATATATATACACAAACACACACAACGTACGCTGAAGGTAGGTAAATAAATGCCAACCGGTTTTTATACCAGGTGGAATGTCGCATTCCCTTCCGGCGGTGCTAGAGAGCGAGGGAGACGGGCCAGGGAGTGGCGATAGAAATTTGAACCACCAGCTATTGCCGTTGTCTGCTCGCAGTGACCCTTGGGGAGGATCCATCTCTGCTTCATCGGCCTGATGCCATTCGAGACAGAGGCACCAACCTGTCATTGCTCGCAGACACCAGCCTCCGTAGAGAATCACACTCCGCAAGTAATACGGGTCTTCGAGATCGACGCCGATGAACTGATCACCCCTCTCAAGAGGCTGTGCGACTGTCATCAATGCACTCACATCCTGGGCTCTACTTGAAGGACTTCTCCTGACGCTCTTCAGCACGTTGCCGAGCACCTTCCTGCAACGGGCGTACGATGTACCTGGGTTTGTTTGCTCTTCACTGTGCGGGGGAGGCGGGTTATGGCTAATGCGAAGGGGGAGAGGAGAGAGCCTGGCATCAAACAGGCTGTCACGGCGCAGGGAATGCTGAAAACGGATGTGCATCCTCAACACCGAAAAGCCCAAGACCAGGAGAGCTGTCGAGGTTCAGGCACTCGAGAGTCCGAGAGTGAGCGCGCTGCGAAGATTGTTCGGATCTTGAAGCCTGACAAGATCACGGATACCGTCAAGGGCTGCGGGAGCTGCCGCCTGCTTCTCGATCCCGCGTTCGGTCGGAGATGAGCCCACGACACACCCACCACGGGAGCCCAATATCGATGTCCACTGGAGGTACATCTTCCCCAAGTCTTTCCGAGATATATATCTTTTGACGATATAGCGGTACTGCACATATCCGCCAGGCACTTCGACCATCGATGCTGAGCGAGCATGAGCCACCGCCGGGGAGATATCGAGGTGCTGGATTGAGCCTGCCTGCTCAGACCCAGGCGCCATGAGGCCGAATTCTCCACGAACCGAAGCAGACTGACACCTGAGGATGCGGAGCCTTAGCCACCATGTTGCGCGCTGGGGAGGCCTCGTTTCCACACCAACGACGCTGATGAGGTTTTGGGCACCTGTCCCGCGTGTGGAGAGCATGAGGCTGCCTGCGAGAAAGGAGACAGATCAGACCCACCCGTGAAAAGGTTACAGCGAAGGAGACGAACGGTACGAGATGCAAGAAGCCGTGATACTACGGTAGTACGTAGGTAGTAGGTACCTCTCTTTCGGAAATTAAATATCACAAGAAGGAGATGCAGGACGTTGTTGATACTACGTACCTCGTCCATTCTATTCTGGTCCTGGTCCAGGAGCATGGGATGAAAGATTCATGATTGGTTGATCTATTTTCGTTGAGCCGATCGACAAGGAAGAGAGATGAGTTGCAGCTTGAAAGAAGTTTCTAAGAAGAGTTGGGACGGTGATCTGAGTCGGAGACAATCAAGCTGATGGCTTGGTCCTGCAACTCCAGTATGGCGGTCCGTGTTCCGCCACCGAGGCAATCTAATAGACTTTGGATAGGTTGTGGCTGAATAGTAGTGGTTGTGGTGGTAGTTGTGGTTGTGGTTGTACGTGGTTGTACTACGTAGTACGTAGTAGTTGTACGTCGTAGTTGTAGTTGTTGTGGTACCTACCTTACCTTACTTGCTGAATGGTGGCGTGGCGTAGCGTAGCGATAAAGACCACGACGGCGAGCCTCTCTGGTCCATTCCTTTTCCTTTGTTACTGACCGCGCGACAAAGGTGAAGAGGAAGAAGAGACGGCCGAACACACGCCCAGCAAGCGATCGCCTGAAATACCAGCAATCATCTCACGTATAGGGACCCACCAGGCACGAGGTACGGTACCTCTCTCCCAATCCCAATCCCAGACCCAGACCCAGCCCCCGTCCCCGTCCCCATCCCCATCCCCGTCCCAGGCCCAATTTCAATCCCAATACCGCCCAAATATAGGTGTTCACCCCTAAATCCCCCACATCAACTCAGCTCCGCCCCCGCCCCACGAGTCAACGATCATCCTGGTGATCAGCATCAGCATCAGCATCAGCATCAGCATCAGCAACATCAGCAACATCAGCAGCAGCAGCAGCAGCAGCAGCAGCAGCAGCAGCAGCAGCAGCAGCAGCAACAAAATCAACCTTTTATCCACCTCCACCTCCACCTCCCCCTCCTCCTCGCCCTCCTCACCTTTTCCTCCGACACGCGGCCAAAATCCAACATCATGAAGTGGTTCACCAGAGCCAAGGGGAAGAGCAAGAAAACCAAGGACGCGGGCTCTATCCCCATCTCCATCTCCAACTCGATCTTAACCTCCACCTCGGTCTTTATCCCCTACAACAACTACAGCCCCCGCGGTACTCGCTGTTTCCTCACCAAGCTGCCTATACCTCTCCTCGAGCGCATCTTCGCCTTCGTCTGCCCGCACGCCCGAGACCAGACGTACGAGAGCTGTGAGGACTCGGCCGTCGAGGATGCCTGCATGCTCTGCGACCTGCGCGATCTGTCGCATTGTGCCCAAGTCTCGAGGAAATGGAGGGAAGCCGCCGTCAGAGTTCTGTAAGTTCTCCTTGCAGCAGCTTCATGGCATCTGCATCTGCATTTGCATTTGCACCTGCATCTGCATCTGGACCCAGACCCAGACCCAGACCCAGACCCGGACCCGGACCCGGACCCCGATCCCCCGCTGACAACAGAGCCTTCGCAGATATCACAGCATTCGAATCGATGCCGTACACTATTGCCCCCTCGAGGACGTCCTGGCCGAGAAGCGCAAGCGCAAGTCCTTCATGCGTCATAACCAGGAGCCTGAAGACACCGCAGCCGCGAGGCTGAGGTTTCTAGCGAGGACGCTCTACGATAACAAGGGCGGCTTTGCGCTGAATGTGCAGTATTTGAAAACTCCCTACATGACCAGAGAGACGTGCAAGGCCGACCTCGCGCGCGCCGTGTCATGCTGCCCCAACCTGCGCTACCTCGACCTCCCCGAAGGAGTCTTTCAGGATGACCCCTCGTGCACCACCTTGAAGCATGAGATCCAAGGACGATGTCCCGAGCTGAGGAAGATGACATACATTAGGGGTTCCGAGAGGGGACTGGAAGCGCTGGCAAGCGGACACGTGTGGCACCACCTGGAGGTCCTGGAGCTGGGAAAGTTGAACGTCGACCCAGTAGTCCTGCGACAAGCCCTCGGATCTCTGCCGAATCTACACGCCCTGAAGGTGACCGACATGGCTTCGTTCCACGACCAGCTATTCACACAGAGCGAGTACCTCCCCCCCTTCCCCGCTCTGGCCGAGATGATCTTTGAAAATATCCCCAACCTCACGGCCGATGGCATTGCGGGATACCTCTTCCGATCTGATGCACAAGAGACCCTCAAGACCCTGTCTCTGACAGCCACCGGCGTGCATCCTCAAACGCTGCACAGTATCCTCGCCGTGGCACCCAACTTGAAGCATCTATCCATTACGGAGTCCGTTACAACCTCTTTCCCAGCTGCCGACGTGCCAAGCCTCTCCTCCAAATCTCTCGAGACATTTCACTACGAAATCACGGCCGCCACATCGGCCAATACCTATGCCAACACCACCGCAAGTCATTACGCCTATCTGACGAGATCGCTGATTGCAGGAGGCCTTCCGTCGTTGACGGAGCTGTACGTTCGAGGTAGGCCGCTGTGGAGACTCGATGCTGATGCATTACTAATGAAGACCTAGACCCCTACTTTGCAGAGACACTCCTTGATCTCGCACCTCCCCTACCAGCTTTCGCAGCCGACTTAGATAACCTGGCTCCTCCGAAGCCATTCGCCGCCGGTCACAAAGCAAAGAGCTTGAGCCTCAGCTCCAACAACCCATTCGCCAAGTTGCACCAGGGGTAAGTCCCATCTCCCCCACACCGCCAGATCCAGACTAACACCCGCAGGCCTGGACTGCGACAAGAACTTCAAGTCTTCAGTAAGGGCTCCGACGAAATGGAGTGGAACTTCTCCAAAGTGAAACCCCCACCATGCGGCGGCAAACGCGGAAGTGCCACGGTCCCTCGACCCCTCAGCAGCTACGGTCTGACCGACAGCATGGGCCGAGGATGGAACTCTGCCACCGGCGGTGCCCGCCAGAGCGTCATCGTCGGCAATGGCTTTGGCGGCTTCCTCGCTGTGCCTGCAGATGGCGGACGACCGAGCAGCTCTGCAGGTGAAAGAAATAGAGGCAGCCAGTATGACATGTGGCGATGATAGATAGCCTGATGAGGAGGAGATTCTGTTACATTTGGAGCTGGTCTATGACAACACGGGGAACGGACGGGGATTCGGCAAGCTGGGATGGGTACGACGAGTGACGAATTAAATGAGAGAGGACGGGGAAGATATTGCGCCCACCCTCGTTTGGAGAGAGATGGGGGCGGGGAGAGAGAGAGTGTGTGAGAAGGCGAAAGAAAGATGGCCAGCCTTGCATTTTCGCTTGGCATTTTATTTTATGTAGCTATACCCCCTGGCGTTTCTTCCGAATCTCAGCGAAATTGATTGTAAATGGGATGAGGCTGAGAGTACTCCAGCTGAGTTCTTTCTTTTTCCGATTTTTTTTCATTCTTTTTATTCTTCTTTCCCTCGTCCCACCCTGTCGGATGTGATCAGGTGATAGAACCATCACGTGTCAAGACCTCTCCAGATGTATAAGTAGAGGGCTACTCCCCAAGTTCATCAGACAACAATCCAGAATCATTTCACTCATCTTTGTATCCTCGTATTACCGTTTAACAGGTTATAAGCCCCGGAATAAGCTGCTTTGGTTGAAACTGGTCCAAGAAAATTGCACTCTTCTTAAGCCAGACCTCGCCCGCAAACCTTCCAACGAAGCGACGACGTTTTTAGATACTCCGGACCTTAACGCTTTTTACCGTCTTTACTTTTCAGTCTTGGATATTTTCTATGTTTTTTTTCATAACTTGAAAATATTATGTTTTGAAATATGAAAGGTTATATAACGATACGGATACGCCAGGTCTCGTGACGACCTTAAGCGATTAATCGTCGGCTCGCTTAGGTGGGCCTCTGTGACGACACGCCAGGTCTCCTAGACGTATCTTTACATGCGCCAAGCTACCTCTTTTCTTTTTTCTTTCGTATTTTTCGTATTTTCTTATTCCTTTCCTTTGACTTATAAACCATGGTTCACGAGTCTTTAGCGCTTTTACCTTCGTATAATATATATATAGACTTTAGCTACTTTCGACCTTGATACTCGATAATTATTAATTTTAAGTTATTATTTTAAGATTCTCTTAGGCTCTTATATAAACCTTGTGACGACCTTAAGCGACTTACTTAAAGGAACTTACGGAAGCGCGGGGGTTATATAAGAGCTGAAGAGAATTTTAAAATAATAATTTAAAATTACCAACCACCGAGTATAGAGGTCGAAAGTAGCTCAAGTTTATATATACGAAGGTAAAAGCGCTCAAGATTCGTAAATTATAGTTTATAAGTTAAAAGAAAAGGATAGGAGAATACGAAGAATACGAAAGGGAAAAAAAAAAAAAAAAAAAAAAAGATAGCTTAGCGCATATAAAGATGCGTCTAAGAGACTTGGCGTATCGTTATATAATATCTTTCCGTCCGAAAAAAAGCTCGTCTTCGAGCCTTTATCTCTTGTGTTGGATTGCTTCCAAGCGATTGGGGAATATATATTCGTAAAGGTCGTAATATAAACACCCTGCCTGATGGGGCATCTACCTGCCTTGGCCACTAGGGCCATACTAGTCTAGACGGACCCATCTGTTGGATTGCTTCCAAGCGATTGGGAATATATTCGTAAGGTCGTAACGTTCGTCAAAGTACTTGCAATTGCAAAACACTCGGTTGATAAGGTATCTGAATTCTGTCTGTTCCTTAAGGCTCAAAGGGGCTGATTCCTTTTATATGATTAAAAGGAATCACGTGCACTAGCTAGCTAATCGGTTTACTTGTCAAGTTAAGGGTCCTTTAACTGCTGACATGCTAAGCGAAGCATGCTAAATGGCCCGTGAACCTTAGTTCACGAGTGAACTTCTTAACTATTACTATTACTACTACTATTATTATTAGTTAAGGTCGATATAGATATACCGACACCGGCAACTCTTTTTTTAGCAAGTAGTGCCTTGCTAACTACTATATCGACCGAAAAAGGAAAGAAGGTAATCAAACAAAAGAAAAACAATCTTATCTTTCTTTCTCTTACAACGGCTTTTCTACTTATCTATCCACTTGCACTTTTAAAGTATTAGTCAAAACTAGCTCTTGCAAAGAAGTATTAGCTTCGATTTTAATTATAGCGTCAACAGGGTTGGATTTGCTTCCGATCTAGCGTACCTTAAAGAGCTCTTGCCTTTCGTATGACTCTCGAATAGCTATAATATCGATTATAAAGCGTTTCTCTTTAATAATTCCTAGCTTTATTATACACTCGTAAAGCGAATAAAAGTTAGTGCACATAACTACGAAGAAATTAAAGATCTTTAGCTGAGCTGTGATCTAAGCAAAAGTAATCGATATAGCAATAACTATATCGATACTTAAAAACATAGCGTATAGCTTAAAAGCTAACACCGCTTTTATCATTCTTTTGTACTTCTATAACACTTAATAAAAGATGTTATTCGTTAAAGTGAACTCGTTTTCACTTACGTAAGCTTTATTGCTAAAGATAACTACGAAACCGATTTAAAAGCTAAAGTCAGCGTTATTAATAAACGCTTCGTTTACGAACATAAAGAGCTTCGCTATCTTTAAGTCTAAAAGCACGTAATAGATCTTTCGTATTAAGTGATCGATTAGCTATTAGATCACTTTATTAAAGGCTTTGTAATCTTCGTCCTTCGGTTCTTAATATTAAGCAGCTATCGATAGAGCACAAGATGCTTCTAAGTAGCAAATAGTAGCTAAATACGCTTTTCGAGCACGTTGCTTTAAATACTCTTTAGCTCGTATAGCTAAATCGAGCTTGATTACGGCAAGCTTTTTACTTTGTCCTTTTTGCTCGATTAATAATCCGAACTCGTTTTTATTTAAAAATAGCTTGCATTTATTGAAAATCATTAGTTCGGCGTATATAAAGGTCTTTATTTCTTTGCTTTTTAATTTAGATTTGACCAACTCTTTTTCTTCTTTTGCTTTTATAGCTCGATTGATAACTATAAAAACATCGTTCGTTTATAAGATAGCTATTTTTAATTGATTTTTATTAATTGATATAAAAAAGCAAAAGTTAAAGCTCGATTGCTTTATGCCGAAATTGTTTATAAAGTGCTTAGAAAAACGCTTATATTAATACGTCTTTGCTTCGAGGATGCCGTATAAAAAGCTAATTATAAAGAACAAAGTGCCGAAAGGAAATCGATAAGTGATCTCTTTAAGTAATCGCACGACGATTATTCGTATAAGCTTCGTGCTTAATTAAGTATAAGCTTAAGTGATATCTTCTTTATAGACTTAACACCTATAGTCTTTTATCAGCGAAAAAGCTAAAGCATAATAAAGTCTTTAGCCCGCTCGCTGCATTATAAGCGATTCGATAAGTACTTTCGTTTTACTTTTATCTTAAAAAGCTTAAACTATTATACGAGACTTTTCGTATAACGTAAGTGTTCTTTTGCTTTTGATTTTATTAATAAACTTAGATCCGAAGATTTTAGCGCTTTTAGCACGTAGATCGGTGCTCGAGATTATTTAAAAGATGCTTTAAGCTATTAATCTAGCTAATTCTTTTGCTTTAAACTCTTGAAATAATGCTTTAAAGCTCTTAATGATTCCTTCGGCTCGTAGCTTAGCTAAGAGTTTATAGTCCCGGCGTTCTTTATCGGTAACGAATACTTCGAAGTCTTTAATAAACAAAGCATACGAATCATCTTTTTTTTCGTCGAACACGATCGAGATATTAAGATCGTACTTTTAATAAAGTATTTAAACTATTAATATTATTAATCTTTAAAGATTAGCAAGTTAAGAGTTAAAAAAGCTATTTGCTAATCTTAACGAGCTTTTTAAATTAAGCGACTTCGATAAATTAAGCGAATGTTAAGGTTTAAGCGAATTTCGCGGTTTTAATTCTTTTTCGCTTTCGCTTTAATCTTCTTTTACTTTTACTTTAAATACTTGCAACTCTTTTAATAGCTTTTCAACTTTAAAGTAGTAAGGTTTTATTAAAGTTGACTTGAATTCCGTAAACCTCGGACATGCTATTATGTACGTATGCTTTTGCTTGCTAAGCAGCTGAAAAAAGCTTTTTTACCTTTGGTTTTCTCGTTATACGAATATCCGTAAACTAATAAAAAGGTTTAAAGTATGCTTTGTAATTAGCTTATTCCTTTTTTTAAGCGCGTCTTTAACCTGCTTAGCGGCGTAGCATTTTCGTACTTCTTTTATAGCCTTATTAATAGCAGCAGCATG